CCCCCCGCCCGGTACGCCTATGTATCTATATATACCACTGATATGTACAACAAATAAGGGCCTGCGGAGGAGGCAGGTATAAATTTTTCTTGTATAAAATTGTATGATTAAAATTTTATCGGATGAAATAAGTGAAACACAATAACTAAACAAAATAACATGTAGATTTTCTAATTTGTACGAGAAATTTGTAGGAAACGTTAAAGCCTTGGGCGCATCCTGTGGTTCAACCCCTCCTAAATACTGAAAGATATCTTTAGCCTTAAGACATGTTACACGAGGCAATTTATGTTGTAACTTGCAACACTGATTTCAGATACACGACAGACAGTCACACAGAAATGTGAGCATGGACCGCATTCTACTCTGCCAACAAAGTAGCATTCTACTCTACCGACAGAGTAGAATACGGGCCATGCTTGGTTGTTGCTGTTGTTGTTTTTCATTGTAAGGCATCAATTTTAATGACTCAAGCTTTTTCTAGATAGTTTATATTCACAATTAGTTTGGTATTGTAACGTGTAAGTTACTATACTAACAACATTTAGAGAAGTTTACAATTTATTGAGATAATGTAGTAAATTTATAGGGTAAGGTATTGCGAGACATTTACCTAGTTTATAATCATTAGTCACGTAATATATGACATGCCAGACACACTAAACGAATCTACGCCTTTCCTAATTAATATCAGCGCGACATCAAATGTTCCACCTGGCACCTACGCATGCAACACACTAATCTCCACACGCTACAGTATTTTCAGAAATTTAAACAAGAGTTTCAAAGAAAAAGTACCAAAGTGAATATTGCTATTGGACTATTTCAAAACAATTGTGTACTCAAGATGCCCATACTTCAACGACCCTTAAGAGAGCGAATCCATATTTTCTAACAATAGAGAGTTTAAGCTTCACGTTTCCAGGAGCGGTTCATATTTCGTTTCATATTTTCTTTCTTGGTCCAAAGAAAAATTATGTATTTCAGTTTTAAAACAGCGAGTTTATTTACTCTTTATTGCCTGATGCCGTAAAATTTTTCTTTGCCTGGCGTTTGCCGTTTGCCGTTTGATGTATAACGCGAAGCTTAAACTCTCTACTACGTGTTTTTATTTTCCGTGTCTGTGCCCACATGGCGTACCAGTAATAATGTGTCAAATCTAGCAATGTCGTCGTTCGGACGTTTTGTTGCCGTTGCAATGTCTGCCAGTCTGCCACTCCATAGCAGAAGAATGAATTTTAATTGAGAATTGGTTCAAATTAAATGTTTTGAGTTTGTAAATTTGAAGACTTCCAAAGGTTAACCAAAAACAACAAAACAATTCCCAGCAAGCAACATGACACCACGACCAGATTCGTAGAAATAATCAACCATACAAGCGAGTTGTCAAGTCTCGTAGAAAGTCGCAAAGACGCCAAACTAACAAAGGAAAGAAGCAAAACAATAGATACAAACACATCGGCCGAAGTTTCAAACTCGAATTTCTCTGAATATCTTTTGTACGGCCTGAAAACTAGAGTTATGATAATGAAGGTGACGAGAAGCAAAGTTATGCTTAAAATTTGGTAAGAGGAGGTAGTTGGAACTATGGTTAAGAATACTGCAAGTAGAAGACGGCGGGTGAGGAAAACTAACCGGAAATATCGTCGAAATGGTGGCTTAAATTCGTCATACAACGGTTTAATCCAATTATCAATCTATTGGGATATTGTTTGGCCTTCACTGTTTAAGTATTTGTACAACAATGGTGCGAAAATAAAAAGAGGGATGCCAATGACAAACACAACCAACGAAGCATAACCCAAAATAAGCAACCAATTATGTGAAGTGCCATTACAATCAAGCCACGGTGCACTTTTCAAATAAGACAGCCCTTCACGGTGTTCACAGGAAAATATCGCATCAAAGGTTTTTGCAGTGACAGGAAAATACACGAACAGAAGTATTTGAAGACTCCAACGTTTGCATCGGTGACTGGAAATATTTCTATTTCGACCACAACATAGCTTCCCGAAACCATGAAACAACTATATTAAAGTTATCCCCGCGATAGGCAGTAACAAAATGACAGCAAAGCTAACTTCGGGACGTTTTGCAGAAGAAAAACTACAAGTAAGTTGCGAGAATTCAAAATTAAAGGCGTTTGTGATTTGGTATTTAAGAAGAACTATTTTTGTAGGCCAGATTTTTGCATCAGACAACATCACACCTAGCGACTGGAAGAAGAACACCGCTATGCTCCAAAAGCTTTTCAAGTTCCTGCCTGCATCAGAAAGACCTACGATTCATACTGCAAATATTAGGATGAAGAACCACCCCGGGATTATGGACTTCGTGTGCAAAACTATAAGCGCCACTGCAAATGCAAACAATAAAACAATGATCACCCGCTTTCCACGGCGTCTCAAACTAATCATCAAAGAAATAGACATGAAGAAGCATGCCAGGAAGAATAGTAATAAAATCACAGGAAAATGTTCACGAAACTCTGGACAGGGGACACATAAAGAACCCTTTTTGTAGTAATCGTCAATACACTGTGAACAAAACCTTCCCATGTTGCCATGACGACAACATTTGCATTCTTCCGAGGGGTTGCATATTTCATCATCAAACATTTCTTGCTGACTGCATTTAACCAGTTTAGTCACATTGTCAAAATCGCCACAACATGGCCAGTAACCTTTGTCCATGTTCATCTTGATCTCATGATTGGTCAATGACGAAGCATGCGTTTTATTCACCATTGAAGCTTCCACTTCGCATGAACCACCTTGCATACAAGGCTTGCAATATTTATGGTAACCATAATAACCTTTGTTACAAAAACACAACGAGTAATCATAACATCCCGGGTCCATTTCTACCCGTCCTCCCGAATTTGAAAGATGAATAGTTGGGCAAGAATATGTAACTCTCTGTATCTTTACACTGTATGTCACCATCATATTTGTATTTAGGAAAGTGTGCTGACTTTTCAAGAACCGGTTTTGTCTGACATCGAAATAGGTCAGAGATTTCAATGGAGAAAAAAAGCTCATGGGTAACTCACCAGTGAAGTTATTTGATGCGAGAGTAAGATAAAACAAATACACCATATTAAATGCCTCATTTTTAGGGACACGACCGGCCAAGTTGTTGTAGCTGAGATCAATATACATGACTTGGTGAAAGTTAAAAAGTGAATAAGAAAGTTCACCTTTCAGTCCACAATTATTTGCAACGAGCATACGCAGACTATGAAAACAAGGCTGCAATGCTTTCAACAGAACGTTACCATCGATTTTTAAATGGACGTTTCGATCGAGGTATAGGATCTGCAACTGGGAATTAAACGACAAGTTTGCGGCAAAACTTGTAAAGTTATTGTTTGATAAATCAAGAACCTGAAGGGTTTGAAGCTTGTTAAGCGTTGCCGGAAGCGAGCCATTTAACTTATTCGAGCCTAAGATAAGTTGTGTTATTTTTTGAAAACCATCAAAACAGTTCTTTATTTCCCCTTGCAATCTGTTACCATAAAGTCGAAGATCGAACACTTTCGGATTAGTTTTCCCAAAATCATTTGGTATCGTTCCCCGTAGTCCACAGTTCGTCAGATGTATGAATGTCAGTTGACTCATGTTTGAAAAATACCACATTTCACCTGAATTCAATTTCGCATATTCTAAATCCAAAAACCACAATTTTCTTAGATTTCTTATGTTCAAAGACAAGTCTCCTTTAATATCGTAATTCTGCCCAAAGCTCAATACTTCTAGTTTAGGTAAGCGATCTATATCATGCGGAATGGTGCCGTATAATTTTGTTTGATTCATGCAACAAAGTTGTATCTCCTCCAGGTTATGAAGCTATAGTATTAAATCCCATGGGATTTTACCATAAATTCCTGAATAGGACAAGCACAGTCGACGGAGCCGAGTCATATTACTGGAGATCACACCTGATATTGTTCCTATCATTGTTTATTAATAGACAAACATAGTCCTTGTAGATTGCGGATTTTCCAAAAAATTGGCAATCGTCCTGTCAAGCCATTATCGATTAGATTAATCCATTTGATATAGCTACTGCTCTCGTAGCATTGTATGCCAAACCATTTGCAGTGATGTATGGTGCTATTTTCCCCCCATCCTGTTTTCTTATACCAGTAGTATTGGCCGCCCGTTGCATCATACAAGTCAAGCAGAAACAATCGTTCGTCTGCAGGAGTAAAGTGGTAGTCACTCATATTGTTATCAATGACTAAATTATACAAACACGACCTGTCAACTTTCCCTCCTTTTTGAATTAATGCGAAGTGAGAGATTCCTGAAAACAAAAAGAGCAATAAGAGTTACAAGGTAAGGTAATCAATTTTTGCTAGACGGCTGGCCCATAGTTTCGCCTTGTGTATTATAGCAATATTTAAAAAAAAATCATTCAAACTAACTCGCTGACGCTAGGGCGCTAGAGACTATAAAAATACTAGAAGCTATCACAGTGGCCCAGGCTCTGTGTGGGTATTTATTTATTTTTAATTTTATTATATTTTGTACGGAAGCCGAGAAGTGTAATTGCTATTGCCTATTTTCGTGTTGAAAAAGTCGATTGCAAAAGCTACTTTTTTCGCTATTTCCTATTACCATATTTCCTATTACCTATTACCGTGTTTCCTATTACCTGATACCTATTACAAGAAGAACTGGGGGAAGCAGCTGCCAACAACTGGAACAGTTTGCTTGTGGAAATCCGGGATATACGTCATATTAAAACCCTTAAAACTAAACTAAAGAAACATTTAGCTACATAGCCATAGGATACTCTAATGAACTGATAGGATGCACAGGAACTTTAACAGGGACGAGGGTAGGAGTTTCCACAAGTTGCTTAGCAACTTTTTGGCAACTCTTCGTTTTATGAGCAACTTTTGTTTTAAATGGCAACTTTTGTAACTTTGAGCAACTTGTAATGAATTTGACACCTTTGTTACTTTGTTTAGCGATTTTGAGTTTACTTTCATATTGTTTAGAAATATGGTAGGCCATATTAGGTTAATAATAAACAATTTTAGCCCTCCTAGTGTAGTCAATCTCAATATCTCTTTATCGGTATTTAATACTCGGCAATTTTAGCCGTTGGGGAATTAATACCGGAGTTATTGCACTTTTGGTTTCTCAAAATTGAAAATGACCGACAGCTCAAGCACAGAAGCTCAAGGGAAAAAGCTCAGTGACGTTTTAAATTGTGTAAAGAACATCCTAATAACACTATTTAGTATTTTTGCGCAAGTGAATATAACAAATCCTACAAGTTGATTGGTCAAATTTGACCTATTATGCTGTTATATATTCACCTACAGGTGAATATGACAAAATCGAAATTTGCAAAATGGCGCGCGGCTAGCCGTTTTGTGGAAGTTACTGACAAAGAAATAAGCGAAATTAAAATAAATTCAGTCCCAAAGAACACAAAAGACTTGTGTAAAAATACTAAAACTATTGTTCGCCTTAGGCTCGGTGATTATCGGCGAATATTCCCTGATAATCACCTCGCTTTCGGCGAATAATTGTTAAATATTTACGCAAAAGTTGGTATTTTACATTATCATAATTGTTCTAACATTACGCCGGATTATATATTCGATTACATAAGACTATAATCTATATATGAAGTAATATATTAAAAATATAAAATTGTTTCATGCTTCATGTTTATTAAAATAATTTTTCATGCTCAAAATATTTTCATGCTCAAAATGTTAAAATAGCAGTATAGCGCAATTGAGGATCATCATCATCATCATGGTCGTCGTCGTCGTATACCGTTTCCAGATAACGGCACACATTATAAGATTTTCATACTCTCATTAATAATTCATGAGCTAATTGGCAAATCATATCAACCATAATATGTCACGTGCAGTGGCTTTAAGCCTGATAAAATCGCACTCCTAATTAGTATTATTTATTTAAAGAATACTAATCAGGCAGTATATATTGTAGTCGTGTCCTCATCAGTATTCTTTATATAAAGAATACTAATAAGGCAGTATATCTATTGAATTTGTAGTCGTGTTTAAAGCCGTTTAATAAACTCCCAGGTCGTGTTTTATTAGGTCTAATAAAACACTACTGCTCTTTTATTAAACAGTACATAAATATTTAAAATAGTGACTAAAAATTCATACTAACTTATGTGGCAAATCATGTCAGCCATAATATGTCATGTCCAATGACTAATTATATCTGATAAAACTCATCTCATTAGTATTCTTTATATAATTGTTCATCCTAATTAGTTTGATTATATAATTGTTCTAATTAGTATTCTTTTGTTGTCGTATTTTACTAAGCTATTCAAAACACTCGAACTAGCGTTTTATCATATCTAAAACAATGCTCGGCTGCGTCTCGCGTTTTAAATATGATAAAATACTCCTTCTCGTGTTTTAAATACTACGTGAACCAAAGGAAGAGCAGAAACGTGTGAAATGAAAGTGACTTTTATATAAGTGTGCACAAGCTATATGATCATACGTTTTTATTGCTTGATTTCCTGATTTGTTGCTATAAAAATCTCTTTAGCATATTTTTATAATTTAAGTAATTAAGAGCAAACAGAAATTAAATTTAGCAAGTATTTTGACGTATTTGTGATTCTCAAAGTTGATTGTACAGAACACTCACTCCTTGTAAGTGCGTAAGTGGAAGCATGTAATATGATACTTTTCCCACACAACCTTAGGCAATTAATTTTCTGTGAGCCACGAGACCAGCTCCGACCAGGGTCTTTCCTCCACAAGAGGGAAGGGCCTGGGAACGAGGTTGATATAAATTGTATATTATATCGCATTCTCGTGATGTTTTTATATCATTATATCAAACTAAAACCACCTCCAAATCGCACAAAAGTAAGTAAGTTATACTTTATAATTTAAAGTAAATTGTAATGCAAATATAATAAAATTAAAAAATGAATAAATACCCACACAGAGCTTGGGCCACTGTGGAAGCTATTATGGCAACGGAACCGCTTCTTTTCGACCAAGACCCAAGGGACTGATACCAAGCATTAAAATTAACTTATATTTAAATTGCTAGAGACACGTACACTTCCAAACTATTGAAATTACAACCAATAATTACTACAAGTGTACTTTGGATTTTCATACAATCATACGTATACATCCACTGTATATGCAGGTGACGCTCGGTGAAGGATTTTGTAGATGGAAATTTCGAGTATAAATTTTATATATTTGACTTAGCCAGGAGCAGTTACAAAAATATGCAACTATAGTCTATATATAGTCCCTCTGGCGTTGTAACGAACTGAGCTACAGAGCCCAGTTATCGAGCGCTAACTACAAGTTCTTGTGTATACAGCTAGTTCAATTAAGGTTGTCCCCCAACTGCAAAGCGGAAAAATCGAATACGAGCGCGAAAGGCTGCTGGGAATCGCTAATAAATCCATTCATTTCAGTGTTAGCGATTCTCAGCAGCATTTCGCGCTCGTATTCGACTTTTCCGCTTTGCTCGGGGGACAACCTTAATTGAACTAACTGTATACTAAGGATCACAGGTTCCGATTCCTGCCAGAGGGCCTAAAGTTGCATTTTTCGCAACGGCTCCTGGTTACATATTAAGCCTGCTTTCCACTAGGCGGAATTTTGCGCGCGTAGCGGAATTTTTCTTTGTCTTTTCTAATTAGTTCCACCCGAGAAATCACAAGACAAAGAAAAATTTCGCTCCGCGCGCAAAATTCCGCCTAGTGGAAATCAGGCTTTAATAAATGTAGAAAATCACACTCGAATTTCTGTCAACAAAACCCTTCAATCTCCTATCGAATGAGATGCTCAAAATCCTATGTAATGCTTGGTGCCAATACTGTATTTTAAACCAATGTTGAATGTCAGTAGAAATTAATATTCTTTACTTAAGAGCTGAACAAACCGTTTTGAATCACAAAAATCTTTTAAAATAGGATATGATGATGATGGTGATGATGATGATGATGACTTTTCCGCTTTGCTCGTGGACAACCTTAATTGAAATAGCTGTATATGAATTGTTTAGCTTGGTAACCGCCATGTGAGTAGAGACCTTTGTAAAGTTGTCTCTTCTATTATAACATTGGTGATTGGTCCGAAGATTATGTTTTCAGCTAAGTTTCTGCTGCTGTTTTGGAAGTAGGCCGAAGACAAACGGGTTAATTTTAGTTCAAAAATTGCATGTGAAATTAGAAAGTTTGCTTTGCCAGCTGAGTAAACTGAATGCGTAACTAACCATTGTACTGTAATTTATGCATACATGATACATCATCATTCACTTGACGGAAGTATATATGCAGTCTTTGAGAGCCATCTGGTATTCATTCTATATTCATGTCAACCAAAATTATTTTGCACATTATTCGGTTTATTATACTCAATATTTTGCCTTTCCCACCCCCGGCCGACCGGCTATATTATGAACGACGAAAGCTGTTCATCTCTAAAACTTCCTTCTTCCTTGTTTTATAGACTTTTAACATGCATGTATAACTATACAAATTCATATTTACGTACATCCTTCTGATCTGTCAGACCTGACACTATACACTGCATAACAAGAGTTTTAGTGAATTTAGGCATAGTCTGTCAAGATATGATGATCTGGAAGCCCTTGCAGTAACACCAAAGCCACAAAATATAGAAGGCCTTTGTTTGGTGTTGAACTGTACCTCGGCGTACACAAATGCCTGGTCTGAACTTAATTAAATATTATGGTGGCGCGTTTCACCTATACAATATCAACGAGCTATATATACAATATCAACGAGCTCAATCACCTGAAGCATAATACAATAACTTTTGTTTAGTTTCTAGACCATCATACCTTGATAGATTATAATTTTGGGATGCGGCGCGCCGAAAATAATTGCACGTTTTGCCACTTCTCTCGCGTGTAGCCCTTAGCTGTAACAAAGGTTCCTTTATTCAAAATGTCCAATATTAATAGTATAGTTCATTAAAATCACTCGCAGGATGTACGGTTGTCTCGGCGCCAAAGATCACTGCTTAGTGTTATTGAAAGGGTTTTATTATAGTTATTTTTATTTCAGTTATTTTTTATTTCACTGCCAGTTTTCAACTGTAGTATGATATTGTTCAAGACATCAGTTCCAAGTTCCTGTTCAATCGTTCGTGACGGTGAGCTAACAATTATGAGACAATATATCTTGCGAGTTTATTAATGTCGGTCGTTAATTAACCTCATTCACACTGTTATAACCAGATGAATTTCGATCTGACTATAAATTACTAGTTTGAAGATGTTAACAGTTAAAAAATTATAACATATTTGTAATAATCATAATTATAAATAGCTTACAGTTACACTTTCCTGTTATACATGCAATATTTTCTTGGTTCCACAAGCGTTTTAATTAAAGCGGCAAAAAGTCTACTGTTTATACAGTTTACTGGTTATTTAATGAGTTTCAACAATTCACATGCAGGATCTTTTAGAAAATTCCATCTCCCCACTACTTTATCTTTAGTAGAATGAACTATTAAACTACGATCTACCTACCTATACTTCTAGGTCCAGTCGGGATGGCGAAACAACCAGCCAAAATATAGATCAAGCAAAACCAAGTTGCCAAACGATATTCAAGGGTATGATCAAAGTTGTTAAATACTTGGATAAATTGCATTTCGTAGATAAATTCCCAAGAGTAGAGTGAAAATTAAGGATGTATATGCATACAAAATCGCTTCGCTTTATTATTGTGTAAATTAATCATATAGCAAAATTCCAAATTCGAAAGCATACATAAATTATTTTGTGATGTCAAACGCGGATATGAACACTCGGTTTCGATTTTCTTGTTTGTTTTGTTTTTGACAGGTTTTCACTAGGAAAACCCCGAAAAACGGCACGTTTATCGCTAATTTTATTTATTTCGATCAGTCAATAGCCAGGTAAAACGTGATGTTTTCAATGCATGCTTTGTAAATGTGATTTTTTTGCATCATACAAGTCAAGCAAGAACAAAGTTCGTCTGCAGGAGTCTTTTACGTTGTTATCAATGGTTAAATCATGCAAATATGACGTGTCAACATGCCAGTCCTCTTTGGAGAAATGTGAAGCGAATGATCCCTAAAAAGAAGAACAACCAGAGTTATCATTACGGGAACCACTCAGTATTTTAAGAAAATACAAAATAACAGTAACTCCGAATAACATTTTGATTTTTAATCGACGTTTCGACTAGTTTGTAGTCATCCTCAGGATTAATAATAGTGTAAAATTACAGATGCAGCTACTATAAAGCCAGAAAGGCGGAGCTTAGATGACAGTTAATGAAATATGAGAAGTTCTTTGGAAGCTTTCGCACCCTGGTTGAGATCAGGTTTTCGTCTGCGTATAGCAAGAGACTCCTTGAATAACAACAGAGATCAGTGGTCTGACCTATCAATTATTTTACAATTTCTAAATATTAGTTCAGTTAAATTAGTGTTTATAGAGATCGGAAGAGCACACGTCTGAAAGTTCCATAAGGGATTTGATGTGTTGAAAATGTTCGCAGCAGTTGATGTGGGCGTTGATTTCCGAGTTTTTTCGTGTGCTATGCTCTTTCAGACGGGTGTATAGACAGCGGTCTGTTTTACCAATGGAAGGAAGCAATAACATCCCACACGTCGACCTTACAGAACGCGCAACACCAGATAATCTACTCAAAATATGGATAAGACTCCCATTTATTGGCAAATATGGCAACATTTTGACCAAAATGTTCATAAACAAAACTCGCCGCTTACTGAAGAGTCCGTGTAAATTTATTTTAAACTGGCATACTACGAACTTCAATTGTTTCCTGTCCTTTAAAGACAAAACACCCGATGAATATACAAAGGCTCCGTAGTTTACGAATTTTCATGTCCGGGTTGTCGAAGCAGCTACATTGGTAAAACAGATCGCTGTCTATACACCCGTCTGAAAGAGCATAGCACACGAGGAAACTCGGAAATCAACGCCCACATCAACTGCTGCGAACATTTTCAACACATCAAATCCCTTATGGAACTTCCACCTGACTCAACTAACACTATAAACACTAATTTAACTGAACTAATTTTAGAAATTGTAAAATAATTGATAGGTCAGACCACTGGTCTCTGTTGTTATTCAAGGAGTCTCTTGCAATACGCAGACGAAAACCTGATCTCAACCACGGTGCGAAAGTTAACTGGCATTTAAGCTCCGCCTTTCTGGCTTTATAATAGCTGCATCTGTAATTTTACACTATTATTAATCCTGAGGATGACTACAAACTAGTCGAAACGTCGATTAAAAGTCAAAATGTTATTCGGAGTTACTGTTATTTTGTATTTTCAGAGTTATCACGTTATCAATTTTTTGCTATGCCCGCATGGTACTTTAATGATGCATCATTTCGCCTCGTAAAGATAAATATAAGTTGTTGTGTTAGGCTGTGTCAGTGCCGGAAAATAGTGTAAATATATATCCTTGCATGCTTGTTTAGTAAAAAACAATTGCTCGTCTGTAACAAGAACAAAACGAGAAGACATTTTGTTTTCGTGTAAAGTGAGTCGGAAGCTGAGCAACCAATCAATTTGCGCCGAATGTACTATAAACTTCAACTCATCATCAATTCACCGAATTGTTTTAATTGCAACCGACAATGCTAATGACAGTGTCGGTGCTTCTTCATTTTGGTTTTGTTACGGCGAAATTGTGTCTGCGAAATATAAATAGTTGCGCAAAACTGATTGTATTGAACTTTCCAACATTTTTCGTTTGGGCGGTCAGTAGAACTATAAACTTCTACTGGCCATACGTTGATTGCATTTCGCTGAGGAAACGAGCTCGTTGAATCGTGCCCTTGCAGCAGTGTAATTATGGGATCGTTTCAGACTAAGGCCTTTTTACGGTGTTGGCATGCTATCGCGTGTTAGCATTAAAGCCTCCCCCCACCCGATTAGATCAGTGCATGTCAGGTGCAACTGATTTATATTTTCGAAACTCTGTGTGCTGCTTATACTTAGGTAATTGGTTTGAAAGCGCCGATTCATTTATCAGTTAAACCATTTTCAGTTTCTTTTACCGGTTTCTATTTGGCTATAAAAGTCAAAGATTTCTTTGCTACTGAGGCGTTAGGACGATTCTCCACATTAAAAACCAATTCTGAGTTTCCACTGCGCATTCAAACGGCAATAATATGTACCAGCAATAACATGTAGATGAGATTGCAAGAATTAGATTATGCATATCAAAGTTATGGAACTGTTCAATCATTTCAATATGCAAAAAGTTGATCAAAGAGCAAATAGTTTCAGCACGGTACAGTTGATTTGCTTTAAATTAGAAAACATATTTCTTTCTTTATTTTGCTTTACACAGAAGACAATTATTTAAAACATGCTAGTATAAAAATTATTTAATGACAGTTAATATACAGTGCTGTCCAGAAATAACCTAACAAAAACCTCGGTTAACCTAGGTCAAACCCGTAATTTTTGCATCTAAGCGTCTTTCAATTTTGATTTTCCGAAATTATCGGTCGCTTACAAATTTCGAGACAAATTTGTGTTTTAAAATGCCGAAATTGTCCGTGTATGCTCGAGTGAGAAAGTTATTAATTAACCTGTATTCCTCAGTGAAAGCGTAACAAAAATAACAAAATAAGGGGGAGGAATAAAAGTTTCGTAATCAACAGCTCCTACAACAATAGCACTTACCATGGAGCTTCACAACTATACAGTGCTTCATAGTCCAAACCATCGAATTCGACTTCAACTGTAGGTCCTAGCCTGTCACTGTAGCAAGAGGATACGATTTGCTGTTACACGTACGAGTGAAATACCTGCATGTGCAACTGTTTTGCAGTTCTTATATATATTCGAAATATTCCCGAATTTATAATGAATGTATAGAGTGACATACAGTATTGACTCTTTTTGCCCGATATTTTGCTGTTTTCAAAAGCGATGCATGTGTGACGCGTGTCATGCATGTCGGTGGAAACTCCCAAACAGTCATGCATTAACGCAGCCCGTTCAGTCAGGCAAGATTTGAGAAAAAAACCCTAATAATACTGCGATATTAACAATAAAATTATTGCCGTTCTCATTTTGCATATACAGCAGCATACGCCACATAATACTGTTTGTCAATGAAAATTTCTTTTGGTAGCAGTAACAGTAGAAGTAGTAATTTTTAATCAGGAAAACTTTTCAATTACACATGCATTAAATTAATTTGGCTAGTAGTTAAATCGATACTGTATGTTCCTAAAAGATTCTGTCATTAGCATCAGTGAACTATTCCTAACATTTTTATAGGCGAAAACGCTATGCTGGTGACGTGGTGATCAATTTTGCCTAGCTTTTCGCGGCCTTTGCCTACTATAGCTATAGACGCTGTGATAAAGATTAAAGGTAAAAAATAACAAGCAAAAGCTTTAGCGCCCCACGATGTGGCATATAATACGATTATGGAACACACAGTATAATATATAGTACTATATAGTCATGCATGGTAAGTGACATTCGATTATGTTTATTAATTTATTCACGGAGCTTAATTATGTTCCTGTTTATGGAATGGTTTTATAATTATATAGCTTATTTTAGTTTAAAAACAGCATTTTGGAAGAGTTGACAATCCAGGATCCGCTCACAGCTTTGGTATAACTACATCCAAGCACACCTTCCTGGTGCAGCTGTGCGGAGTATTCTATATTTATCCCAACACATTCAGGTTAGTTCTTTACTAATTTTTATTTAACAAACACGCCCTAGTTCCACAGCATAGACGTAGCATTTAACTATTATTCGCCGAAGGCAAGGTGATTTAATTCAGCATGAGTTCCACCCCAGAAGATTAATTTATTGATTGTGAACTTGGTGGGTTCTTTAACTTTCGGTATAATATATCATTTATAGACCCTCCGCTCGGGGGATTCGTAGAACTATTACCATCAGTGATGATATCATCACTGTACTTCGGGTAATATTCCGCCGAATCCCCCGAGCGGAGGGTCTATAAATGATAAATATTCACCTACAGGTGAATATATAAACAAAACCATTATTTGCAAAATGGCGGCTAGCCGTTTTGTGGAAAGTTGTGTAAAAACAAAGAAGTTGTGTAAAAATACTAAAACAATTATTTGCCTCAGGCCCGGTGATTAAACCTCAAATGCGAACTGATTAAACAACATGAGCTCCACCTTTGAATTTACTATATGAGTAAATTCTTAGACACGTCCGAATTTATCATTATGAAAAATTCGCGGCACATTTTGAATTTATCAATAGAGTTAATCATAAAACCACAAGCATTAGACGAGACTTCTTGGTATAAATGTAACGGCACTAAAAATACGTGAGACTGGTCGCGTAGGGGTGGGGGCATTTTTAAAACCCCCCAAAAATAGTTTTAAAAAAGTTTTTAAAAAGTTTTAAAAGAGTTTTAAAAAGCAAAAAAGTTTAAAAAGTTAGATTTTCAAAAAAATTTAAAAAGTTAGGGGTTAGGGGTTAGTGCTGAGGGTTGGGGTTAGTGTTAGGTGCTACGAATTTATTATTATGATAAATTCAAAATGTGCCGCGAATTTATCATAATAATAAATTCGGACGTGTTTAAGAATTTACTCATATGGTAAATTCAAAGGTGGAGCTCATGCTGTGC